CCCCAAAACCCCAAAACCCCAAAACCCCTATAAATTCTCCGAAATTGGGAAAGCCAAAACTAAAATAAATGTTAAAGGCAAAACAAAGTTCGGAACCCATCAAGGTAGTGATCAGGTGCAAAGGCCTCACCCAGAGGGACATCGAGTCCAAGGCCCGAGAGGCCGTCACTGTAGACCAGTCCAGTTGCGAAGTGAGCCTTCACGACCTGGCCAACGGGAAATGTAAGAAGTTTACATTTGAGCAAGTGTACGACGAAGATTCCTCCCAGAAGCAAGTCTTCGATGAAAACGCAGCCGACATTGTTCAAGGGGTTCTCGGAGGCTACAACGGAACTGTCATCAGCTATGGAACATGTGCGTCAGGCAAGAGCTTTACGATGAATGGGAGTCAAGAAGACGAAGAGTTGGAAGGTATTGTGCCCAGAGCTTGTAAGGTCATCTTTGAGAAGATTGAGCAACAAGAGAAGAAGTATCTTGTCAAGGCATCATTTGTCCATATCTATCAGGGAGAGACCAGGAATTTGATAGGAAAGAATAAAAACAAAAGTTTGAAGATCTTTGAAACTTCGGATGGGCAAATTCAAGTAAAAGATATCAAAACAGTTAGAGTGAGAGATGCTGAAAGCTTGTTAAAGGTGTACAGAGCAGGTCTTAGAAATAGTTATGTTGGCTCAACAAGAATGAATGCTTGTTCGACCAGATCTCACATGCTCTTTTTCATAACTATTGAGTCAGAAGAAATCGGAGAAGATGATAAGCCTTATATCAGAAAAGGAGTTCTAAAGCTGGTCGATTTAGCTCCAGCAGAGAGAACAAGAAAGACATGATGCACTGGTGAAAGATTAAAGGAAGCGAACAGTGTCAACTCATCACTCTCTGTCTTTGGACAAGTGGTTTCAGCACTCACTAGCAAGAGGAGCACATATATTCCTTACAGATCATCATCACTGGTAAGAGCTTTACAGGAATACACTTTGCTTATTTGTCAGAAACAATCTTTTAATCTAAAATATGAAAAAGTAATTGTTCAGAGAGTTTTCTTGCTGCTCTCATTGATTTCCAAGATTGCTAAACAGAATTGATCCCTACATTTCTTATTAGTTCTTGAAACTAAATCTTCTGCCAAAATATTTTCTCCAATCAAAATATCTCCTCCAACCAAAATATCTCATAAGGCCATTCTGTGCTATTTTAGCCAAACTTGGTTGAGAGTTGCACAACTTCGTTATGGCCTTTAGCTAGCTCCACATCTTCATGCTTGCATATTCTCACATTATATCATATAGACTACGATTCTTAGAGATTCGCTTGGAGGGACTTCAAAGACAGTGCTCTTCACACATATATAACCAAAAGTTCTTACAGTTATGATGAGGTCCTCATTGCCTTGAAGTTAGCCAATAGAGCCAAATTTATCAAGAACAAGCCGACTCTGAGTCTTTTGAGCGATTCAGAATCGATTCTTGAGTTCCAGTCAGAGCTCAGTAAAGATGAATTAGTAGAAAATCAAGAGGAACAGAAAATGCATTCATTTGATGTTCAAAGCTCTATTGCACAAGATGAACCAGCCGACCATGATTCGATGGTAATCGAGCAAGAACAAAAGCTAGCTGATGAAGACTTATCTGTGAATGATGAGAAAGATATTGGTGAGCAGGATACTCCAGATGCAATCACTGTTTCTCAACAATAGTCGACCAGTTTACAACAGAAGTTACAAAACTAGACCATCGAAAATAACATTCAATCAAAGAATCACAAGTTGGGGTTTTGGGGTTTTGGGGTTTTGGGG